TACAGACTTACGCATTTTGGTGGTGGCGATGGTTCCTTCCAAATCGTTCGTTCTGATTGGAGCCAGACACGCCTGGTTTTCTTGTCTTGCCCCGATCAAAACTAACCAGGTCGCACAGTATGAGAAAACCATGGCTGACAACTTGTTGAGGCTTGGCTTGAGCGTTAGAAGATGACGCGAATGCAGTCGTAGTCAACGGGACCTTCCCATAGGCCTTGATACGCACGAGGACTATAAAATGAGCAACCTCCGCGTGGCTTGATTTTGAGTAAACCTGCCAGGCTTTGCTAAAGGCAAGCAAAATTGGTAAAGCGGTTTTCACCAATTATTATCTGGTAAAAACTATTCGACAGACCAAAACGTTTCCATTAGTTCCTCCTCCGTATTCTGCTCCAATTCGGTGACATTTTTCAAGATTATACTTGAGCCATTATCATGTAGCGTAATCTTAGAAAGTCCATCCGTATTTTCGGACGACGGAAACCAGCATTTCTTGAGCTCCATGTATTCGTCGGTGTCGCCAAGCAAGTCATATATTTCCTCCTCAACAATCTAGCAACAGAATGCATTTGCATCAAGCGACAGTTATTGCATGGGTTTGGGGGCGATATTTCTTTGCTATGGAGGACATTTGGAGTGATCCTTAGTCTCTAATTGATGAACCATGGAGGGTTGTGAACAAACCGTATAGCACTTGGGCACACACACACACACCTCCAAACTGTCCTATTTCCGGCAATAACAACGGGACCCACAAGTTTGATTGAGTATGAATAGACTATAAAATGCTGGGTTTGACCACTTGAAATTGAATGCCCCCAAAAAATTACCATCTGCTTTGATGAACTGGATATTCAAGAAAATGTATTTGCTAGAATAGGTCAAACCCTACTGTAGACTGGGATAGTGTGAGCAAAATCACTTAAATGAACTTCTGCTCATTCGGCCTTCTCATGGGATCGGTTTTGGGAGACTTGGCATATTTTCTACTGAATGAATTTTTAAAAAAATTGGCCATCACCTGAGGTAGGTGCCAGACTAGCAGTTCACATGTTCAGTTGGTTAAGTTACTTTCGATTATTTATTCTATTTGGCCATTCAGTCTGTAACATGCCCCAAATGTAGCTAACTAGGTGGCTGAGCGTTTAAACACGTCACATTTGTAATTGTATTTCGGTGTATGGTGCAAGTCAGGGATGGGAAATTGTACTTGAGGTTAATCCGACCAACTATTCCAACTAATCAGCGATTAGGTCGCTTGACACATAGGAAGTGAACCAATTATAGTAACCTAATGACTGATTATGCTCGATTCCGTAGTGAACACAATATCGTTGAAACAAAAGAAATCAACAAAATTTTGGTGAATAAAAGCTGAAAATTTCCAGGAAGCAATCGAGTGCAGGGCTAACCCGGTTCTAGGTGTTTTCTACAGTTAAAATCCCATTTGCCGGCCAGGAATCACTCAAGCCAGCAACCGTAGATCTTAAAAGTCAGATCGCATGGCACCAAGAGACTATTTCCTGATAAGAAACTTCATCAGTGTCTACTAGGCTTACGTATTTTGGTGGAGGCGATGGTTCCTGGGCAGGTGTTCAGTAAAAGTTCCGCTATTAAGGAGACCACTCCTCTAGTTCTGCTGCATCCGAATAAATTGTTAAGGATTTTACAATTTAATGGCTGCCCCTTTCGCATTTTTCTTAGAAGGCCATTTGAAAGCGCATGTAACGTGTCGGTATTTGAGACAATTTATTCTTAAATATATTCTCTCTAAACCGAGCGTGGCTACAACATCAGGGTACAGATTTTGACAAGCAGATTTTCCCTGATGCCTTCATGCAACCTATTATTCAATGGGAAACATTGTTGTAGACGTGGCAAAAGAAGCAACCACTTGCCTGAATTGCACTAAGGGATATTTTGTATTCCCATAATGGAGATCGGTCTCTGCAGGACCTCGAAATGAGACTGAGTGCCCTTGGGATGATTCCAGCATCATCCGCTGGGCCGATCATTGTGTGGGTTTTTCCTGTGCCCTTTGGCCCATTCGCAATTATCGCGGCGGTGTGCCTTGGTTAAACACATACAAGGATTTGGTACAACTGCAAACCGCGATAAATCAAGAATGCGAATCGGAATTTGAAATCCAACTCCTGCACGTCGTAGATACGATGTAAGCATTTGCGTCGACGATGAATAATGTGGACAAGTGTCACCTCGTGTTACATCTGAAAAGCTGACTGCTTTTATTAATAGCTAACTCTTTTGCCTATGACATAAACTGATTCCCCAACTCACCACTTCAAATGGACAAACGTGGGATCTTCCCTACCAGTTTCGAATGTGAAACACTGATAAGTTTGAGATTTGAATTATGTGCAGATTGACACCATGCTTGGGTGTCGAGTAAACGAGAGCGAAAGCGCTTGATACAACCAATTACCCTGACCACTTTCTCCCAGAAACCTGTTTGAAAGTTTCAAAGCCCTTTAACTTCTGACTTCTCAAACTGTATAAGTGTTGAAATTTCCATATTTAATATTTCTATCAACTTACAAATTTCGACTGTTTGCTCCAGTCAGGCAGAGATCCTAATGATTCTCAAAAGGATACATGATTTTAATCGTGTCATTTGTTCATGCAAATTAAATATTCCCTTTTTCCAAATTAAGAGGGCACTCTAACCAGTGAAATGATGAATCGCGGTACCTGTTCAAAGGGTTGTGCATCATGCGAGATACCTTTGATGCTTAGTTCCCGTTTATACAAAAGCGATGGCGGATGGTCAACAGAGGCTTTCATTAGAATTTTGTCTAAGATGGTACATATAGGGACGATTAGCAATTGTATACTTTCCGGATTGCTTATTAGTTTCTACATACCACGAAGCTTCAAGGTTCACACTAGCACACTGTGCATTAGCTTACACGTCACAGCGACACGCCGATGGTTAACGGATCTTATCCATCCCATTATGACACCTTTTGATTAGCAATTGACACTTTGGACGTGGTTTTGATTTGAATCTCGGAAGGCTACAAAGAAATCTCCTGGACGAAACGTGGGCTCAAATACTGAGCAAAGGTGGCACACCGTTACCACGCAAGACGCTTCAGATGATTCGTTTCGTCAATTGTTGATTGGAACTTCGCGGCCCCAAAGTTAGCATATTTTAAGCAAATTAAGTTTTAAATCGCAAAATTATTCTTTTGGGCATTAATCGTGCGAATACAACGTGGCAACTCCAGTGTGGTTTTAGACCACATGGCAGGGCCTTCACCGCAACATTACCTCCAGAAAACGGGATATGGCATTATACTTTCGACTACCAGCCTCTCTCCTTTAATCGAATGGTAAATTAATGTACTATGTGGGAGTCGTGCGCAGGAGTCATCTTGAAAGAGATATAAAATAAAGGACGATGGCCGAAGCACTGAAAAAAATTGAGCAAATTTTATAAGCACTGCTGGCTGGTGTAAGTGTCTTCTGGGTGGTTTCGAGAGACCCCAGTAAAGACTTCCTTGCCTGGGAACCCGCACTTGGGTTACTCTACCCACTTGACGGTAGACTCCAATGCATTCATATGTCATGGGACTTCAAGGAAAATTAGAACATCTTACCCATCTACGCAAGCTTCGACGTAGTCCCTGACGTCAGCAAAGACCGTAGAATTGCTTGCCTCGCTGTTGTGGATGTTGTAGACTGACAAATTTTCACCCTGTGGCTTGCTTCTTAGATGCATGAAGTTGAACAAAGGCTTACGAATCGATATTATGTTGGAGTTGATAATCTCAATATTGCTGAACTCTTCACTTGTTGGAAGGTACCTGATAAAGTACGAAATTACTGTAAGACTATCTTAAATGCATCCTGAAGCATTAATGTAATCCAAAGTATATGTATTCGTTAAATGAGTTAAAAAATTTTCAAACCCGAAGGGAACTGTCGTACCTAATTATAACACGAATTCCACCACGCAATTCCATCAGTTCATTGTGCAGCATCCTTGAGTGCACATCTCGGACCATGTTGAGTGCGCGTTCCTGTATTAGCTTCTGAATAACGAGGTCTCGCTGGGCTACGCGATTCTGCAGTTGTGACACGTAGGATTGCAGAAAGGACAAACGAGTTGCCGTCTGGCGAAATTCGTCCCTTTGTTGGGCTGCTTGCTGGCACAGCGACTCCTTTTCAGCGGTTAGCTTTCGGAGATCCTCGCGATACTGTGACACGAGCAGGAGGTCATCGCCTGATCTTGCTCGGTTGGATCCGTCACCCTTTGAGTTAAGTAAATAATTCCTTTTTAAAATTAATTTCGGAATGATTGGTGTTTTTAACAGTGCTGCCAAATCTTATTGTCTTTGCCACTCTTCATTCCTTTCCTGCTGATCATTCCAGGTGATAATGCTTAGTTCAAAATTCGATTGGGTTTATATCAATAAGTACAACCCTGTTTGACTACGAACACAGTAGTTCGTGGCAAAAAAAGATAAGAACACCGCGATAATATAAACCCATTCTTATGGAGGGACTTTGCTCTTGTTAAGAGTTCAATTATCAAAACTAAATTATAGTTATCTACTACATTCCGCCTTGTCGGCCAGTGCATTGAATTACTGGGGAAAGTGTCCTTGATAGAGATACGTGTTTTAGATTTCAGTAAATTAGGAACAACCTACAAATTAATTAAAATTGCTTTAAAAAGACAGGAGCATGCTAATTTTGGCTATTTTTCACTGGATGGGTCAACAGTTGCGTTGTGATGGCTAGTTTGCCTTTGTTTGCAGCGTGATGTACCAACATTGAAAGTGACCTGAATTGTTTTGTAGTAAATGGCAGATAAAGACACAGCGCCATTGCAAATTGCTACCCACAGAATCCGAGGACATCGGCAAAAAGCGACAGGAAGCGCAACCACAGCCGTTTTATGCCCACTGGCATAGGTTGCAATTGTGGGTGTTCATGACGAACCTGGAAACCGGGACGAATGTAAAAATGGTTTGAGTGGCAAATGTCACTCAACTAGTGATACAACTATTTGGGTAGAATTGAGTTTATACGTTTTAGATGGCGCAAGCCTCGTAAGAATGCAGCTGCAAGCAGTACAGATTAGTTACGGAAACAGGATTTTAAATTGATAACCTAAATCCGGGATTTCGAAACTTTGCCCTGAGCCCGAAGCTTGAAAGATTTAGTTGATAATATCGATCCAGCTGATAAAATTGCCAATGTTTGAGTTGCATTTTGAGGTCTTTGTCATGTTGTTGATTGATGTTAGATATCAATAATTTATCCCAAACGCCTTTTACCTCTATTATTATACAAATCTGTCCAGTGTAATAGTACATGTGCAAAGTGTCGGGCAAAAAATGCGTTATTTTTGAACAGTTAATACTTTATTCCGGAGCTAGCCACCTGCTTGCTTAAAGACTCATGCAGTACCTTGCTAGCTAAATTATCCCCACTCACTTTGTCCATGACTTCGATAACAAAACAAAAATGTTAGAGACCCAGTAAATTACCAGAAGCTCATTCTTTGACAGAGTTGATTTTACTTAGTTCGTTAATGATGAAAAAGAAATTTCGCGGTTACCAAATCAGGTATTTTACAATGTTTGTTAACAACTCGTTGTACTACAGACCACATTTCGTTTTAGTCTAAGGGGCGACAACAAGATATCACTCACCTGTGAATTCTGCATTGTTGCCAGTTCTAGCATATTATGCCGATACTGAAGTCGATTATGTTCATTCAGCAGGTCAGAGAATTGAGCCTGAAGGGTTCCATATTGTGCGGAGAGTTCTTTATTGATCTCGACGAGACGCAATATCTCAGCTTGTTGCCCATTATCGTCCGAAGTCATGAGTCTCTCAATAGAGCTTGAATCTGTGACAGCGTCAAAATTCCTTTGGAAGGGAGCACAACCGGCGACCATTTGAGTCACTGAGTTGGCGTTATTTTCATTTAAGTCGCCAGAAATCTCAGCTACCTTATTTTCACATACCAGGTCCTCATCTACTCTAGGGGCATCCAGAGGGGCCTGAGTTTGGGTTTTTACTTCCCCAGACTGGATTGGTTCCGGATCCATTGGCTGTTCTTCATCTTCCGACTTCAAAAATCCCGGTTCAAAACGCACGAGTTTATTGTTACTACCTACGGGCATTCTCTTGTCACGTGTAAAGAAAATCTAAACTGCCGCCTTTGTAACGTATCGATTTCTTTGACTTAAGCGCCAAGTACATGGCACGAGCGCGCAGATATGGTATATTTCCAGTGAGATTGCTGACTTAGTAGGTAAATAGTAGGCACCAAGGCCTTGTCTGTTCTCTCACAAAAGTTGGAATGATGCGTTGTGATTTCCCATTATTTTTAAGATATTTTAATCGACGGTTAAACTAAACCTAATCCAGGTAGTTTTGGCTATACTTTTGAAGTAAATTAACTTTTCTTTTATAAACAAGCAAGCATTTTTAAATTACAACCATTTCTGTTGCTTCGTGTTTGTTTTAGAATTAATTCTTTCGTTTGGTGGGCTAGTGTTCATGAAAGTAAGTTAAAGTCCTTTTAAATCAGTGGTCCAGCTGGAAATCGAGCCTCATGGATCAGATTATCTCCAAGTCTTCCCATACCAGAAGCCATTAAAGCCTGTTAAAGATTAGGAAGCGTGTAGATCAGGTCAACCCTCTTAATATGTTAAGGGACAGGAATAAGCCGACCTAGTGATGTGAACTAACGACTAAGTGAAGGATATAGGCGATGTTTTTTTCATGCAAGACAATGGGATCACAAGGATTAAAGGGAAAAAACTCAAATAGGAAGGCACAATTCCTGTTGTGGAGACTTGTGATGATTCACGTCCATTGACACGGTAGTCGCATACTCAGACTAACTGTCCCTCCCTTTTCACGGCGTCTCAATCGATCATGCTGCATCGTCTCTGAGTGTACCCTCTTGCGCACCACTCCCAACTCGGCCGTGTAGTGCAATCTGGTCAGTAAACCCTGGTCGACCCAGTGTAGTTCGAAACCGCATACTGGGATCTACAAAATAGCCATGGCTTGGGATGCGGGGATGTTAAACCTGGAGCTTTGAAGATTGTAGCCGAAACACTCCACAGTGGGAATGATTCTCCATTTCCTGTATACCGTGGAAGCCTTTTATCGACAACTAGTTCACAATGACTTAATGTTTTTAGTCCACGGCGTCCACCACCATAGGTGCAGTCGAATGCAATTTCTTAACCAAACCGCAGCGGTTAGATAACCACACCAGGGCCGACGTCGGGGTCACCAATTTGTTGAAGCCCTTCACCTCACGAAGTAACCCAGGAAGGAAATAAGTGCAAAGATGGCAGGCACGACCGTTTACTAGATAACTCAACAAAGTTATGTTTTGATGACTGATACAGTTGAGTGTACTAGTAAAAGTACAGGCGTCTGAATGGTCACATGGATAGAGCGGGCAGTGGTGGCACATACAGAGGGGTTAGTGAGAAGGCTGTCCCAGTACTTGACGGTCACGCCGTGAAAACGATGAAGAAATGAGACAAGAGAGGGAGAATCAACCGTTTATCTAATGTCTCAATCAAGCTGTGTTGTCTTGAGTGTGTACTCAGAGTCGTGCATGCAGTTTGGGTGAAAATGCAATACTAAAACGAATGACTGGCGAGACGAATGAAACAGGTAACGAGGGTGGTACTTGCACGATGGTGTGAACAGACGGTCTCTCATGGCTGACGATCACGCTGTGAAAGTGGAGTAGCTTGTAGGAGAATGTGATGGCGGAGTTAATCGGTGTGAATCAACACGATTTACTGCAGATCCCTCCCCCCTTAGCTGAAGTAGTTGGCGAACCCTTTCCTCTAACAGGAATACTGAAACGTAGGCCATGGGTTTCGGAGGTCGGCATTTGTCCATTGTGAAGGTTTGTACTGAAAATGTTTACAACATGATCTGATTGAGAATCGAGAACTAAAAAAATGCGGCTTTACTGGGCGAAAGTCGAAAGAGGTGAGATGGATCAGTGTTAAGTGAGGCAATGGTAGTGATATGAGATAAGGTTGAGCTTGTTGAGGCCCGTTGCCACACGAAGTAACCCAGGAAGGAAATAAGTCTAGAGATGGCAGGCAAGACCGTTTACTAGGCTCACACAGTTGAGTGGACGTGTAAAAATAAGCACAGGAGTCTGTGAGGTCACATGACTAAAGCGGGTGGTAGTGGTACACGCAGAGAGATTAATGAACCAGCGGCCTCACGTGACGACTAGCACGCCGTGAAAAGGGGGGACGTGTATTGGAATCTGCGACGGCTGGGTTATTGGACATGAATCAACACGACTCACTACAAACTGAAACAGGAACTGGGTGATCTCCCTTACCGTTACTTTCACTAGATCATCAGAAAGGCAAACTTGCAAACCGTGCACCAAGCCGTCCTCAAACGAAGAGCTGGGCACGCACCCAGAGCGCAGACACAAAATTAGTCCCACGGAGCAAAAAACATCAAGGTCCCCGACTGATATGAACCAATTTTAATTAATCTTGATGTTTCACCTCCATTGACTCTGTGAGCGCATACGCTGACAGCACCTCTACTGCTGATGCTGTCACATTTTACAATCCATCACTGTGCTTGCACACTCCCTGGTACACATACCTCGCATCTTGCCATTCGGAGACCCGTCCAGCTACTAGGTTAACGCAGTAAATGTCTTCTTATTCTTCTACATAATTTGATTGGGCCTCAAGATTGGGCAGCCCCAGTGTTGTTCGTGTCCCGTTCGGCGGACTTGCCACAAGTTTCTCATTCAGGTTTGAGACGGAAGTGGTTAAAAGATTCTCCTGATTAATGTCTCGAGGTAGTTTGAAATTAGCCTAGGTATAAAAAAATTCGCTTTGCAGGTAGTTGAACAAAAGCTAAGCTAACGACAGAAATTATTTGAGAAGCTAGTTATGCTAGTGTGCAAAGGAATCCTCTGAATGCTACGCTGGTAAGGGACATCTGACAGTCTACATTTGCGGAGGATATTTTCAACTTTTTTGCACTTCACCTTTAAGGAAGTTGAGGGATTCAAGAAGTACTTTTTCTGGTTAGTCAGAGCCCCTGTTTTCTTGACCATTGTAAAACGCACTGCGCCATACGAACTGCTTAGGCACAGGGCACTTCTGTAAACAAAAGAAAAGGTGTTAGAATACCTAGAAAATACTCAAGGATCTTTAACGATATCTACAATCGGGTACGCCGGCTGAGCCAAGCGTATTCCAGTAGTCCTAGTTAACCGAGCACCCCTTTGAGAAAGTAGTGGCTCAACAATCCACATGAACGACACACCGGTCGACGTCGGCGGATGACTTGTCCCATGCAACATTTAAGAATGAGGTCTTTATGTTGGTTTGGGTTGTGAGATCTCGCCTAATGCCTCACGGCTTTATTTGCATGTAGTATATGGATTAAACTTACGCAGGTACCTACCACACATCTGGGTATAACAATTTTGACTTGTATTGTTTTAAAATGGCAAGTCTCATGTGTTCCTGTTGAGAGAAATATTGCTTACAATTGGGGATAGTTTGTGGCGGCTTCATTAACACCACCATGCAACCCTGCTAGTTGACAGTTCGTAACAGCATGAGAAGAAAGACAAGACGGATGATAGCGAATATAACGGTTTATTTACATTTCACCACCCAAGTCTTCCATAGCACAGCGCGGGGGTGAATATCGAAGGTCAACTGTAATCGACAACCGATGACATTCGATCAACTCGCGAATAAACTTCCCTCGTCTTCGTTTGATGTAAATTTGCTACAAGTTTAGATGAATAGATCAGTATTATTCCTAAGGCAATCTAAGAACTTGGTTTGTTTCCCTTGAAAAGATATAAGCATTATTTTTGATTGTCTCCAGGTGGCGCTGGTGGATATAAATGGCACCTTCGTGGCTATAAGTATTTTCCGCAATTAAGTAATGGCGAATGTGTTATTTAATCTTTATATGTCTCGCTTCAGACCAGAAAAAAGCTGACAAAATCAGCAGGTGAATTGACCAATCCTAGAAATTTCCATCTTCTACTCAAAAGCATATCAGTTTGTGTTCATCGTGCAAGAGCAATAATTTAAGTACGGAATGAAACAATGCGACTTAAAACGACGTTAATGGACAGCCACTCGTCAACTGGATTCAAGGTCTCTTTCACTTGTATTGTGAATGGTGGGATCAGGTGCAGCTGAGCAAGGTGGTCAACTGCAACCGTTTTCCCTAGGATCGTTTTATTCTGCAATGAGCAAAGTTACGCTCACATTTAAAGTCTTGTTACCCAGATGCTTTACTTCTCTCGGTAGGAAAAAATTTTTGGGAGACTTTATTAAACGGGGAGCTATTTGTTTTGCAATTCCCTACTGAAATTATCTTCCATACGAATCATTCGCTGACAGTCTTTCATTCAGCTGTGTTAACAAAGGTTAGCATTATTGTTTACTTAGGTTCCCATAACTTGTCTTATTTTCCTCCACAGTCGAGTCAAATATATAATGGTTTCTATCACAATGAAGTCAACCTATTGAATCTTTTTCTTAGCTAAGTCGAGGATTCCTCGTGTTTCCCATTGTCTTGCTTAATCCTGTTTTGCTTCTGGTGTCGATACGTTTTAGAAACGTCAAGTAAACAAACTGGTAGTCAGGATTTAGGCGTTGTGAAATGCTTATATGTTCAAGGATATTAGTCACAATGCTATCACAGTTTCAAAAACTTGAGTATTTCAACAAAGACCCATGCCAATGTTTCCGTTTGATTTTAGATTTTGCGGTGGCAAAGCTGTGGCCTTGTCGGCAATTTATTTCTTCTATTCTACAAAAAAATTTTACCCTCGATTCACAGTAATATTTAAGCCCGCTTTTTATGCCTTTGTTGAGATGCTTCTCAGAAAAAAAATGAAAATTTCATTGACAAAACATTTACAAATCCACTAAAGCAATTTTTCGGAATTTTATCTATGATTTGTTTAAAGTGGAAAAAATACCACTGAAACATTGTGAGGGAAGTTAAAATGTCCGCGAAACAGAGACACAGCATTGTAGCTGCTAACAAAGGGTCCTATCATTTCCTGTAATTGTTCGAACCTTTTTGACCATTTCGAATGCGACCCTTAGACTTTATTGCACTTTTTGTAAAGAAACCATGCGTTCCGAGGGTAAAGACCATGTTGTTATTTAATTGTGCCCAGCATTCTTCAAATTTTGAAAAAAATATTTATTTGTCAAGTGAAAATAACAACTAATGCTGACTTTTCGGTGAATTCACAAATCCGACTACCGGACACACCATCCGACCTAACTTATTTGTATTTGCGGTTTAATGATAATGCGAAGGGTAATTTTGACAAATGGCAACACCCGAACGCAAGTGGGGTGTCCGGATTTAAACTTCAGAAAAATTAAAATGTGTTGCTTTTTGGGGCAAAATATCCATTTCCTGGTCTTGAGGTCTCATGTGCAAACTAAAAATTGAAGTTTTCATTTTTGTAATAATTGCTTCCAAGCATGCAGTGAAACCCTACTTCTTTAATTTTTCAAGCAATTACCTCGAAACTCACAATATTTTGACATTCCGTAAACGCACCGGCTACATATGCTTTCGGATTACTTAAAGTGCTAACTGTGGTCAAACGACTGGATGGTTACATTTTAAAAATGCTGAGGGTAATTTTCGTGTTAGGGCCTAATTCTGGTAGACCACTTTTCAATTCCACATAATGCTTCATTTGAGACAAGTATTTTATTTAAAAGTGTTTGTTCTTATACGTTACAGCGAGTGTATTCAAAGTAGCCTCAGATAAATAAATGAAAACAGCAGTTTCAATTCGGAAGAATCCCATCTTTTGCTTGAATTGATTGCGAGGCATCTTTAGTACGTTTTTGTTGACCTAGAACTACTTTTGGACTGATTACGAGTTCTCGAAAAAAGAACATGGAGTCTGACCAAATTGTTTAATTAATCACGATGGAAGATGTGGCACTATAAAACCTGTTTTATTAAATGTAAATTTAACTCGTATACAGCTTTTCATGATTGATGTTTTCGCATGGTGTTTCGCATGGTGCGTGCCCAAATTTAACGGGCTTCAAACGTGGTGGTTTCGGTATTTGCTTTGCGTTGAACACAGTGATTATTCGTGTAATTCACTTGGGCTCTACTGGTAATGTCTTGCTAGAGTCGATACGCGCCGTGCCGAATTCGCAGTAAAAAGTAGCCGCACCGTTATCTCTGGAAATTTTAGTAAAAGATACGAACGTATTCTTACATTATGTTTCTTAGGAAAGAAATAATTAGACCAGTGACTCATAGATAGGCATTGTTTTGAAACAAATATTCGTGTTAAAATGAGATAGGCGAAGAAGAAAATACGAAGTCCCGTTTGTTGATTGGCTGACTCCTTGTCCAATCACGAGTGGAGTGTTTGTCATTAAATATAGAAACAACCACACGTCCGCCATTTGAAATGAGTTTTTCCGCCTCTCTAGTGGCTGGGACGGCAGATCAATGGGCCTCATTCCCCCTTCCACTTGCTCATCGCAGAAAGAGCCCAGATCAACTGGAACCGTCAGTGACAACGACTCGCATGAACAGTTTGTTTGAAGGCTATCGTTCACCGCCTGCCACAGGATGTGTCATCGGTTTGAATGTGGAAAAGGAACGAAAGCTCTCAGCACCGCGACTTCCTACGCCCTCTGCCGCGTCCAGCGCCTATCACCATCGCCAGCACCATGCGAGACCACGACGGCACACTTATGCCACGGTTGGGGAAAGAGTGGGAGGTACCAATCAGCACTGGAGACAGCCGCGCTTTGAATTAGCTGACGATGCAAACACCAAAAACGCACAATTCGAACATGGTCATCACACCCTACGGGCAGTGTGAGTAAAAAGCATCAAATTACTCGTCGAATATATTATAGAGCGCCATTTAGCGCACCATTTTGTGACTGACAATTCTGCATAGCACAATGCACTGTCAGCAAGATTTTGGCTACTCATTATTCAAAATTCTGCTACATGTGCTGCGACAATGAATTATGAGTACTATTCGAAAGCACATCCAAGACAAAATTGGGAAAGACTGTGATTATTACGTATCTAATTTTACCCCGTTTGATAGGGAACTAGAGATTAAGGAATCAATTAGACTAATATCTATTGCTGGCTGAATTTAACCTAAAATGCGCATTTGTAAAACATCTAGCGATGAATGCTGTTTCGGTATTTTAGCTTGGTCACGTACGTGGCTCGATGTCACGGAATGGCCTAAATGCAATAACAATTAACATTAGATCTAAATAAATGCTTGCGCATATTTCACACCATTTTTGGAAGTTAGGTTTAAAATACTTAAGCCAAATGTATGCGTATTCATCTGAAAAGTGGATTGACGGAATTTGTAGCTTGCATTTAAGGTAGTATTTTGAAGATGATTCATTCAATTGAAAAATCGATTTGTGTTTGATATGATTACTTTGTTATAAACATTTGAGGTTTTGCAGTTGCTAGACATTTGAACCCTTGCTCTGACTTTGCATAGATTTCTCCCCATTCCTCTTTTGTTACACATTCGTGGTAATGTAGGAACAGCCAGGTGTTTGTTCCAGAAGTTGGACTACAGGTGTATCCCAACTCCATCATTTCGTTTTCACTTCCAAAGGACTTCTGTCGTATTTCCAAAATCTTTTTCGTGTAACAATTAGAGGTACCGAAACAGACCAATTCATCAGAACACCTCTCACAACATTTCCATCTACAAGCCATTACCTACTCAAAATAATGAAACAGGAGTCCTTTATGCCTGTCATTGGATTATAGGTTCCATTGTTAAGTAAAAGAGATTAAAGACATCAATATAATTTCACAATTCCAGTTGTATTCCCTTCCCAATTGCATTACGGCAACATCTCAATTTACAGAGTACCGTGATCCAAAAAAAATTACTTTTTGGATTAAGATTGCTCAGGTTACGTTCTAACTACGCTTGCCTAACAGAAACACTGTAGCATTCGTTTGGTTCAGAAATTGCTGTAATGCTTCAAGTGGCAAAATAAGCAAGAAAGCGGCAGATGTTCTGACACGCTTGTGTTACCAGGATAAATATGTGGTCACATGATTGGTCCGATCCATTAGTCATCCAGCAGGACGCACCTGAGGATCAATTTTTCTAGCGTGTATTTTTCTGAGTCTGAGAGGATTAAAATTTGTCAGCGATATGCACTGCCATTTACAAGTGACCAAACTCTCAAAAAATAGATCGAGAAATCAAAAAAAAACACACAAATGTTGCAGTTTCCGGTGAGCAAGAGAGTTTTTTTGGATGATCAAAGCACTTTAAGACTGCCTTAAAACATTCATTGCCTTCACCCACATTAGAAAATTTAACAACCAACCAACAAAAGTAGTAGCTGGTCTGGGACTATGGGTCGTTTCAAAAGCCTTTAACGGTTTCTGCCGGAATAGTCACCTGTTAGCCAACTACCCCTTACATGCACACTGAGCGCACACATTTGCTTCGTTTTTTCCAGGTACTTCGTTAAATCATGCACGTAACATGGTAGATTCGGGCGATGTTGATGTTCGACTTCGCGACTTTTGCCACCACTTGGCACGAATTAATCTTCACGTCTAGAGCCATTTTCTTGGAAGCGGTTTCATTTGCGGATAACAGTTGTTGGTTCTAATAGAAACGAAGAGAAACATGAAGTGTGCACCTATTGAGCTAGCTACTGCTTCGTCTTCTTGGTGAACTAAACTATGGTCTGGGCTGAATGTTGTGACGGCGTTCCCATAACCAACGCGTAAGATTAGCTAACCAAGTGCAGCAGTAGAAATTTTAGTAAATTCTTATGCATAGATGATCCAACATTTCCTGATTCTGTGGTTCTATCATCTAAAATTTTAGGTTGTTTGAAGCTAAATGTAATGTGTAGTTTTTTTTCTTTTTCCAAAAACTTTATTACTTTTAAGAGGTCTACTTCTATACTGTTGCATTTGTTTATTTAATTCATAGGAGACGCCCACAAATCTTTCCCGTAATGCTACTTTCCCTGAAATTGTTGCGTCTTTCATTGCTTAATAGTGATTTCCGCTTTGTTTATTCCCAAACGGGAGCCGAACTTTATTTATGAATGAAGATTGTTTATCACATTAGCGACAATGGCCAGTGAATTCCATTATGGCAGCGGCCCGACATGAAGAGAAAACATTTGGTTGCACCAATGCTGCTTTTACTACCAGTCGATCCAGAAGCATACGAGGAAGTCGGACGGGCTGGAAAAATACAATTTTAATGATGCATTTTTACCTATCTTGAATCAGCACCTACGTATAATTGTGCAATGCAATTTCCTATTTTTTACAACTGTTGTTTGAACTTTCTGTTTCGTCAAATCGAGTGATAATTTGGCACAAAGGGTCACATTCTATGGCCAACAGCATATTTTAACGCAACTGTAAGGGAAAAGAGCGCGAAAGAATGTTTAGTACGAAATTTATTTATCAAATATACGCCAGGTTATTGATTTTCGAGGGGATAAAATTTACCTAAGGGCAATTTCTGATTGTGGAGAATCTCTTTTCCAACCATCAGTTTAAGCACCAACAGGCGTGAAACCCCCTAAAGGTTGCTTCTATTGCACCATAAGGCTTGTCATTCGCTCTTCAACTTGCTGCAAAACACTTTAGGCGTCAAAAATTTGCTGTTTGTCCCGAGCCCTTTTGACTAAATTGGCTTGCTACAACTTAAACCCACATAAACTCCCTCTCAATCGATTCTCCTTGGTATCCAAAACGATTAATTTTTCACGGACGTAGCACTAAAATTTAAGTAGAAAACGCAGCCACAAGATCACCATGACGAGGTAAAAAGTTTGGTATCACCAATCATCTAACCACCACAAAACACTGACCGTTGCAACGTTTGTATTCAAAAAATAATGCTGATAGTATTTATTGTTAGGTAAAGTACAAAAACAAATCTTGGCAATTATGCTCAATTAAAATCATTTTGCAGAAACTAATTTTTGTCCTTGGTCACCCAGCTTACAGAAGACTGATGCTATTATGACATCAATTTTTTCGGCATGTTATTTTTGCTACTTTTAAGGGTGATTTCAGTCTGCTGTGTTGTTAACTCTGTTTACTACTGAAATCGTCCCAAATAAGGGTAGCTATTTTGCCCCATCGCTTTCTCGATTTATCCACGTCATTTGCAAGGTATGTTTCGAGGTTAAAGAATAAATGGAATAATCCTCTGTAGCATGCGAGAAATTTCCGAGATATCTAAATTAAAACATTTCCTGCGTGTTCAGATTCCACGGTAAAGTCGAAGACTCTGGGGGTTAACATCGGGTTCTGTTTTGCGAACTTAAAAACAAACTACTTCCAAGTACTAACTCACTTCAAAAGGCAGGCTAAGTTAATTTTCTTGTCAATTAGTGAAGCATAAATTGACATTCGCAACATTTCGGTGTTCAAAAGTCTGAACTGTATAAATAACCTTTACTACGCACCGTTCATGCGCAAAATAAGTTACAAAATATTGGAGAATTTTGTACCAAATTTCCTCCACGACTACTGCAAAAGTGAAATGGAGGTTTATTCACAGATTCATCCATAATTTACCATTAATTTATTCACTCATTGAACTTAAAAACAACAAAGCTCTATAAATTAAGCGGCGAAATTTAGCCAAACTTTTACCTTGCTAGAGTAGCTTAGAGAAACAGAAGGTTAGGCATTTATCCAGCCACTTTCATTTGAAACAATCGATGGCTGGAAAATCGTTAGCTAAACTTATGCAAACAGTGGTCTTTCAGATTGGATGCAAGTCTTAAGAAGTGCTTGCGTTCAAGTATTCACGCTGAAGTAAGTGGATTGGATTCGATGTTTAGAGAACAAAATGCTGCAGCATATTACATTTTTAAAATTATTTGGCTTCATTTTCAGTCATTAATTTCATGTAAATTATCCTCAAAACGCCGTCGAAGTTACCAGAAGCAAATGTCGTGTTACTGGTAACGTTCTCTATTCTCTTTTAATATTTTCAACTTTTGTTACGTAGATGTAGGATGAATATTTCAAATAAACGTGGAAGATCGTAGTAGCATTATAAAATATCACTCAGTGCCTTATGACGGTACTGGACTGCAGTTTTTGGTAAGCATTATACCGAGTTTAGGTGAGATTCCTTCCATCGAACCCTTTAACAATACCTGAATTCTTTCGGAAGGTGACAACTTGCTTCCCGTTGTTTCCACTTTAAATTCGCCAGTTCTGCAACACTTTTAGGCTTTTATTTCTGAATATGTAGTTTAATTCCTCTTAGGACTGAGTGAAGGAAGCTAAGCGCTGTTTAGCTAGCAGGTTGCATACTACCTCGGACTAAAACAATGCCATCTGGATGGTTTACGAAACTCAGCAATCTGTACTCTCGTTTCTGTAGTCATCACGTCAGGTGTTAATATGTATGCTCACTACAAGGAAATATTTCCAACGACTCCTCATCTCGCTTAAATGGCCATTTTGGTTAACCTTTAATTTACCTACCCGCATGGTAGGTTTGAGAGATAGTCTGCTTGTGATGAGGTAACGACGTCTTCTATTCCATTGGTTTGGGAATTATCTGTGCCTCTACAACTTGCATGAACTTCACTCCGATTCCTTCAAGTCCGAGAAACAAGGAAGGCGATCCTTGTTTCCTTATCCATGTTTCCAAACATTTCACATCAAATATTCTGCCACAAAGAATTAAAAACTTTTCTACTTCCTTATTATTTTCCAACTTCAACTACAAATTACAATTAACCCCTTTCTTTGGCATCACAGTTTTTGACCAAGAAATGCCACAAACACACGCATCAAACGCAGGTACCGCGTGAATTAAACGAGGCTGGATAATTTATGACTCCAGTGCCCTGATTTTATCATCAGTTCTGCAAGCAGTTCGTCCGCCAACAATACTTGAATCCAAAGCAAAATTTTAAGATCCGAGCATCCAAAAAACGCCAATCCGAAGGAAAATTTGCATCTCGCTACTTCTGCATTAAAAGTGGTGCCTCGCAAATTGTATTTATCGATTTGTTTTTGAACCTTTTCTTTTAACTGCAGGAACAAAATTTCGGTTTGGCTTTATGAGCGGCGATTAGTTCTGTTTAAAATTTACAACAAACAAGTATCTGAAAATCACGACGCTTCTAAAGCTCTCCTCCGTGGAAATCACACAATTTAAGGCAAAAAAAGATTTTGTGTGTTTTTTTAAATCTTCTGCACGTGTTGGGTTAGCAGGTCGGTGAATCAAACCGCAGTCCTTATTTTTAGACCCAACCAGACTGGTACCACGGGAGCACGCGCCTCCGATCCCCTCAGAACCGAAAGTCGCGTCATCACCTTCGATGGGAAACGCAGCGCGCTTCACGAGGTGCCACCACAGATCTTCTCGCACCACTACCACCATCACCAGCCAAAACAGCCTACGAAGAAGACTTCACATCGGGTTCGGGGGCTTTGCTGTTCTCTCCTAATTCTCACAACCCTTATAGCCTACTTTGAGTGCAGGACTGTTGCTTAAACCCCCTAATATCCATTTTTATAATAATGTGAATTTTATAAAGCATTCTCCCAAACCCTTTTACCTTTCATTTTAAAAGAATTAGAGTAGCTTCAAAGGGATATTGAAAGCACCCAAATGCACGAAGCTTCGGTTGGTGCTGCCAGACAGATCGAAAAGTCACTTTGATATAACAAGGAAATGAAGATCATTTTCCTGATTGTTAAGTACAAAAGCGTTGACATTAATAGTTGACAGTTTGTTTACCGAAAGATCATACGAACTAAAGAGCTTCAGAATTCGTCCCGGTTCCCGGTACACAGACGCAAAACCCGATATGCAGCATAATCGATTCCCTTGCTTGCACGCTATCGGCCACCCACATTATCGCTCCGCGACTGAACGCATTAGTCAGAGCCTCCCCCCCCACGCTAATGCAAGTCAAGACCTCTTGTAGAGAACTACCACCGTCTCAGTCAAATGCCGAACGCACTCTCACATGGGCCCACTTATGAAGGGCGTGGGCGGCCCTGAGGGCGGATAAGAAAAATAGTACACCTAGAGGTGAATGGACCAATAGAAAGAAGGTAGGGAATTTGGATATGGAAGTTGGTATGCATAAACATGAGTAATAATGAAAAATAGAAAATTTTGAATATCCTTAAAGATGCAGTCTTGGGGATGCGCGATCTCCAGCCATTGATTAGCAAGTAATCATATTACAGCTCCAACTTTCTGCATTTGGAGTTAAGGTTAGTATCAATGCTTCAAAATATACAGAAATTTGCACAAACAACAAAGCTTAATTCAGAAAAAAACAGTTAAAGTCGCAAATGTAGTTGAGAACACTTGGAGAGAATCGAAATTTGTAATACTCTAGCTTGCAATCAGGCGATTTGTGAATGCAGACAGTAGTGTTAAATCTAACCAAACAATTTTACGTAACTTGCAAATCTAACTTTTGCGTCCAAAAGCTGATTAGCAAAAGAAATAAATCTTCCCTTCTGGCCTCATCACAAAATCTATTAGGAAAATACGCCTTAAAGAGACTCAAAAGGTGAACAGTCAATTGTTCGCAGTTGGCTTAACCTGCGTGCGGTCGCAGAGAGGAACCACGCGCAGAGTTGGCCAGGGAAAGGAAGGCGACTTGAGACGAGGCACGCCCAATCGTTTATTAGATAGCTGGGCAAAGCTGTGCGCGTCGTGTGCAAACAAGGCCGTGTACACTTGAGACCAGAGGGGCGGAGATGTGACAAGTGGAATTGAATGGGGGGAAGGAGGGGGTGAGGGGGGTCAGGGGGGTGTCGCCAGGGATGAGAGAAAGTGCGAAAACAACACGATTCACCCCGCAATGTGGTTTCGAGTGCCTAGGTGAAAGTGTTGACACTGGCGAACAAGTCTCCAGACGCTATTTCCCTCTGCCCCAGGGCAAAACCTATTTATTGCTAATTACTTCGATGCGGGAAAAAATTCCATGACGGCTCTGGTCGTCAGTTGCTAAGCAGGCTGAATTTAGGGCCTACGTATACACTCACCAAGGCCTAATTGCTTACCAAACTTAATCTTGTTCTTTAACGTCCCAAGTTACACTTCCTTCACAAAGTGCACACATGAAATAACGTTCGACGAGCAAGAAACTTCCCCTTTTGAGTAACATAGATTTTTCCAAAGAGACATTCTGCTTTAGACTTCATTAAATCATTAGCTTTCTTAGTCGTGACTTATGTAGACAACCAGGAGCCCTCATCTGTTAATGAATATGCTACTATTAATCAGGTGCTTTGCGTTATTTACGGTCATTTCATCACCGTTTGCTGCCGAAGTTCATGGGTAATTAGAATATTCAGCTTCGTAGGTTAATTATGTGTGACGTCAGCGAATTAAATTCCATGGAGTCCTCGAAACCACGGTACAGAATTAACAGAAAATGGAAATATATTTTTGGTGAAACTACTCAAAACCATGAACAGTTTATCATGCACAATTATTGCCATATTTTTGTGTACCATTATAGAAGGTCTTGAGATGAATCTTGTTAATTCGCGTCCCACAACTTGATCGTCGCAGCTTCCAACACACGATCCCCTTTTCACGGCGTGCCTATCAGTCACTGGGACAGCCTGCTCACTCACCCCTCTGTATGTACCACCACCACCACCACCACCCGCTCTATCCATGTGACCATTCAGACGCCTGTATTTTTAGTAGTACACTCAACTCTATTAGTCATCAAAACACAACTTGGTTGAGCTGTCTCGTAAGCGGTCGTGCCTGCCATCTCTGGACTAATTTTTCTTCCTGGGTTACTTCGTGTGGTAAAGGGCCTCAACAGTCTTAACAGCCGATCTTTAGAAAGTGTAGTATACAGCTGGGCTACCCTCATGGCCACCGGCAATAGAAGGTGCATGAACATCCCAGCATTTGACCCTTACCTACATCTTTATTCACGTATCAGAACATCCATTAGTAAATAAGAAAACAGGTATTTTTGCAGAACATGAGTTAGGAAAACTTATTGAGTAATATTCCTTCGCAGGAGTTGTAGTATCTGAAATACATGGTGATGTGGTGAAACTTGAATCCGTCGGTGCAAGCTCAGACACCTCGGTAACTGAGGCCTTCCAATAATTAGTGTGTCCGTTCAGCCCTTCGCCCGTCTCGGAGTTACCGCATCGTGCACGCGGCCACGTCTGAGCATGCGGTCTTCTTAACGTTTTCCCAGTGGACGCCTGTGGCTTACAAGCACACCGACGTTGAATGCACACACCCACACGTAGACACGAAAAAACGACTGGATTGCGTCACCTAATAGGCGTTTTCTATCTCCAGCGCCGTTGATCTTCTTGATCCGCCCTTGTATCAACGTGAAACAACCAGGCTTGTAAACTATTGGAGTCTCTACAGTGAATTACGCATGATTAAAGGAAAAATAAAGTAAATTTGCAATGTAAATGACACTGATGTCCAATCTATGCTTTTATCTCAATATTCCTACTCTCCATAAGTGTAAACCATCACCTTTACACATGTATCAAGTTGGTTAGATAAGAAGCGGAAGCTCTGTCTCACTAATTCCTTCAATTAATCGAAATCCAACTCTACTACTCTCTGAGACCATTGGTTACCGCTTTTATCAAGCCTAGGCCAATGACCTTACCGAACTTCTCAGGCTGGTTCAACCACAATTGGCCGCATGTTTCAACTCTGCTACGAAAATACTTTGATATCTCGATTCGGCATAGAGGCTGCAAAAGCTTATGTTGAGGATAGGAATGATTTAAATGCCTTGGAACCTTACATCCCATAAAGGTGTTTTGTAGAAATCTCCCATTGTATCTGTTTTCTACAAAAATTGAATGCATAAGTCACTCGAAAGTAACTGACTGGATGTGGCTTGCCTGGTGAATTCCTGGTTTGGATATCCTGTTAAACCTATTCACATGCTTCTAGTTATTTTTAATGAGACCCAAAGATAGCCGTCTTGTCATCAAAAGAGGACAGTTTTTACTATTTTCATGGCAGACGTAAATGCCGAAACTATCCAGATAAATTAGCAGAACCGTGCTGCTTTTAAAGTTGCTAATTTTTACGACGTTTTACCTAAATCTATTTCTTACAGGCCATCGACCCAAGACTAAGTTAACCGATAATCCCGAGTCCGAGATGTTGAGTATTTCAGGCTGAAGACAATTAATTCATCGGCACCATGTATGACAACTATCACACTTGTCCACCAGTGACAATTTCGTACCCTTCGAACTGTGGTGATTTTAAAAGCTTTGATACCTGTCATTTTTGATGAAAGAGGCAAAGCTATCAAAACGGCGTTATTTCCTTGCTTGTGTAGACACCGAAAACTGATGCCAGGGCACACATTGTTGTAGATATTTATTGACTTGGTCGTGTTTCATGTAGTAAGATGGCACCAAGTAATTTCAAGGTCACAAGCTGACCACACGCCAATCTAATTTTTCGATCGATTTATTTTAAATTCAGTGCCACTTTTACACTGTTCCCGCATCAGCATGGCTGAGCCTGCAAACCTCACACAAAAGGATGCCATTTATTCTGACATGCCAAGAGATTGGACCTCAAATTTGTTCACCTTCACCGAATTCATGGGTTTGCTAGTGTGGATTCTAATCGACTGCTGTCTACTGGGACTCTTGGGGTGCTTTGCACTGCACATGATTATAACAATGAGGCACCCAGAATACCTGCGTTATGCTGGGGCTAGGGAATATCTACGTTTAAGCAATTTTCTTTTTAAAAGTAAATGCCTGTCAGCATAGACTAAAATTGTTTGGGGTGATGAAGTCAATCGTTCACACTTGTAGCAGAAAACAAATATGATTAGCTTGCAATAAAATTGCCAAATCACCTGTGGATGTTCTTGGACGTCTAATGCCACTTTTCGGATATTTCATTTTCTAAATAAGCGTTATCACTAAATCAAAACGTGTAAAAAAGATAGATTGATACATAATTATGCATTATTTTAATGGAAATTTTCATATTAAATTTAATGCACAGGTAACAAAAGTGAAATTTTTTCTTGACAAGTTGATATAACGACTTCCTACTTTATTTAGGAACAAACAGAGGGGTATTGAGGAAACTCGAACTTAGAGGACTGTGGGGTAAGTGAATACGCATTAACTGGCAACTGCATTTGAGATGAGCTGCAAAAATGATGTTGGGGTGTGTGTGTTTGTCAAAAAGTCAAGGCTACCGAGAAAATTTTCATAAACAGCCTAATGCACGTGCCTGTCTTGAAGGGGTTTATAAGCAAAAGCCGTTTGGGAATGCCTAAGAGAGGCCTTAAATTGAAATAGTTACTACGGCAATAGCATTAAGATGCGTTTCCGATAGTAGACATGCTGTTATATTCATTCAAATTACTAGAAAAAATTGTCATTTATGGATTTTTTATGAAATAGTTACTAGTAAAATATTGGTGCGGAGATTTTATTGTGTAATTTAAAAACACCCCCTGATTCACCTCCGCAATTTTTTAAACT